TCGTAGTCGTTCCTTTCTGAAGTGTTCAAATATTTGGTGTCTGGCAAATCTTGAGCCCATGGGCTGTAGTAGCATCATAAGGTTTTAGAAGTTACACAGTGGGGCCAACCCTGACAGGGGGCAGATCACACCTACTGAAAAAGTGATCCAGTTCATTTGCCTACTTTTGTGTCCCTTACAGGCTCTGTTGCTTATGGCCCAGGATGGTTCTGAAATCACTCCACACTTTGTTAACATTGTTAATGAAGTTGCAGCTGAAGATTTTCTGCTTGGTGTTGCAATGTCCTATTAGGACAAGTTTGTGTTTCAGAGGTTCTTGTCTGTGTGTTTGGGCCTCCAGTAAACGTCAGTGTTGAAGCTTCCATCCTCCTTAATGCACACAGCACAGTCCAGAAGCGGCAAACTGTTATCCTTTGCAGAGGTGGGAAGTAACAAAGGACAAATGCTTCATTACTGTAGCAACATAAGTACAATTTTCAGGTATCTCTACTTTACTTCAGTAGTTTTTACTGACTTCTTTTTACTTTACTTATCAAACTAAGGAGGACTGCTGCAGGTTAGTGCAAGATAAACTGGTTAGTTTACTGTACTGTGATAGGTTTAAAGTAAAGAACAGTGACAATGAAACCACAGCCACCGTGCACCAGCCCAACACAGAGTTAGGTGACAACAAATGTAGCGGAGATTCAAAAAGAATAGAAATAGAAATAAAAATTATTGTGAGTTGTGATTCCTTTACCCACACCGAGCTGTTACAACCAATTTCAGGGTTCCCCTGTCTTTACACATTTTCCTATTTAGAGGCAAAGTCATCCTCTACAGTGTAGGCAACAGAAAATAGATATATAGTTTTTATTATCATTCTTTTTCCTCAGACTCAGGCTGAGCATAATCGGAATGAAAAAAGTTTGACTAAAGTTTCTTTTCCATCTACTGATAATATTTTATCACTATGTTAGCACAAGATTCAGTTAGCTTTGAAATAGAAACATAGCACAGAAATAGAAACATACTCCTTTTTACTTTCTTACTCTGAGTACATTTCAAAGCCTGTACGTTTTTACTTTCACTCACTAAAGTAAAGAAGTTAAATCAGCACTTCAACTTTTACTGGTGTATTTTTAACAGCAGTATTTGTACTTCTACTTAAACACAGAATATCTGTTCTGTTGGTGAAGTCAGTAGAGGTGTGATGGGGCATGTTCACCACAAGCTTAGGTCTCA